GGGGGGGGGGGGGGGGGTTTGCGCACCTAGTTTGAGTCCACTGTGGGCTTTGAGAAGCTTCAAGCTTGGGGCACGTCGGCTTTGTAGACCATTGGTCGAAGGAACTGCGCCCAGGACGCACCACATCCATTCCGTGAGAAGTCATGATAGGCATGAGACTTTCGCACAAGCACGGTTTCGAACACAGAAGGACATTAGGTTCTCTCATGAAGGCGACGAGACACAAAAGCTGCACCGTCAGGGGCATGTGGCGGGAGAGCGATTTTGAAATTAACATGCACATTACACCACAGCTACCCGCTGCCTTCAACGGGAATCATGCAAGCACACTGCTGCATGGGTAACGAATCACTGCATCCCAAAGGCATGTGGACTCTAACCGTAAGCCCGACGAGTTGATCAGGTCCGGCCCGTCGCGCGTGCCGTGCGAGTGCGGCGCTTTGCTTCCACAGCGGAGGCGAGGAATTCGTCAGATTTTTTTATGATTGCTTTCATCGTAGTTCTTCTTGTTGTGGTCACGTGATTAAAACTACTCTTTGGGCTTCGGCTGTGGAACATGTTCGCTCTGGGGTTACGAACCGTTGAAACGAGTTGAGGCAGTCGTTCAATGTGCACCCCCCGAGCCAAGACGTTTCAGCCCCGCAGCAGCAGCAGCAGCACCATCACCCTAAAAGCTCCCATGATCAGCACGTCATCGTTGCAGTGCGTCATACCTACGCGACAGTTCGGGCGACAGTTCTGACTGCCAGCGCCCATTGCTTGGATGTATGTGTACACGTGCAGACAGTACATATGGGTGGGTGTTGGTACATCTGTCTGTCCGGTTGCCAGGGCCACCTTCATGGAGACTGCAGGCATTGTGTTTTCAGTACTTTCGCTAGCTGCTGTGTTATGTACACAGTTGTTTTACTAGACGGTCTCCACTATCTTAGGACATCTTTAGGGCCTTCACGTTGACCCTTTCCCGACCTGGACAAGGCAAGGCGGCTCTGGCGTTGGGGAGCCACTGACTCCGGCTTCCTGACACAGGCTGAGGCGCCAGAGAAGTCGACGTCACCTTCGCTGCTCAGCACACAAAGATTACCAACGTGGGGTTTGAAGTTGTCGCGGTCAGGCCCAGGCACGACACCTTGCAGCTCGGTGATTGGTGTGGGCAGAGTGATTTGGGCGGGTCGCATTGAGGGTTTTCGTGAGTGCTGTGTCGTTTGCAGCCGTTGGTTGGATATGTTAATGCTCACAGGAATCGTTCGATGTTGTATAATCGTCATTGTAGTCGCCTTGGCGGTGGATAGCACTCGGCCCAGTCGAATTGCTCCAGGCTTGAGGCAGAGAAAGGCATCGAGACAGCTGCCTGCGGATCAAGCCACTCTGCTTTCGTGGCTGGTGGTCGATGCTCCGCTGCAATGGAAAGTACATCACGAGATATGCTCATCAAAACTGCATTGGGACGTTTTCTCGGATTTAAGCTGTGCGCCAGCGATATGCAGAAGTTTCACATAGACCCAGATACCGGTCACGACTGCCTGTGCTGCTCCTTCCAAGTTCTGAGACAAGGCGGTGCGGAATCTATGTAGAGATGGCATTGTCAGCCGTAGCATCGGACGCGTCACTGGTGGTCATCATCATTTCATGAACTTTTCCCGTGACATGTCTTTGGCAAAGATCGCGCCTGTCATTCGAGATGCTTCCATTTTCCAAAGAGCGACCCCGATGTTGAACATCCCCGGCCTGCGGATACAAGGCAGGTCCAGTCAATTCCAGTCTTGATCTTGAGGAGTCGTCCGCTCGCTTTTGCGTCCCTATCAAGCTGTGACCCCCAGGCCTCAAGCCCAAGACGCTAAACACCCCGGGTGGGATCACTCACAACCATGCTTTCTCAAATTGCAGGCTCACCGCCATAGTCCCACATATCCCCGAGCACCCCGCTTGCATGAGATGTTCTAGTGGGTCTCTGTATCTATACCGGAATCCCCACAGTAGGAGTATCAGCTGTTTGTTTTGGTCTGGAATCGTGATACTCTCCCCTGGCTCCTTTCATTGGTGACGGTCGCACCTCGGGACGTAGGTCTCACTTGCAACCGACTTCGCACCAAGAACTTTGCGAGCCCAAATGCCAAGCCATGCCAAGCCATAAGCGGTCAAAAAACAGAACCCCAACACTTTTTCGCTCAAGCTTTGAGAGACCCGAGGGCTGTACGCCTATGGCTCCAACAAGTACAGCCAGCTTGGGCGGGAGATCTCCGGAGCCTCCACGCAGGCCTTCAATGGGTTTCAGGGTTGAGGACGTCCAGGAAGTTCCGGGTTTGGTGATTGTAGGACATCAGGATCTTGGAGTTTTGACGTTGAGGGCTTGAGGGATTACGGATGCAGCGTCACGGGGGAAAAGGGTTTAGTAGGGCTTGGGTTGGGGACCAGGCTTCTAGCAGCGGCAGGAGCTGGCGGTAGTAGTATTGGTAAGACCGGCATTTAGCAGAAGCAGCAGCCGAGCCCCAGCCCCAGCCCCACCCAGCCCCAGCCCCGGCAAGAGCGGTAGCAGGAGGAGGAGGAGGCGGAGGTGTAACTGGTAGTCGTTGTCGCAGTCGTAGTCGTAGTGGTGGTCGTGCTGGTGGTGGTAGTGGTAGTGGTAGCAGTAGCAGTAGCAGTAGCAGTAGCAGTAGCAGTAGCAGCAGCAGTAGCAGTAGCAGTAGCAGTAGCAGTGCGAGTAGGAGTAGGAGTAGGAGTAGGAGGAGGAGTAGTAGTAGTAGTAGTAGTAGCAGCAGTAGCAGCAGCCGTTTTGTAGTAGTAAGAGCAGCATGAAATTTCCGAATGTGGGTTACAATACCTTGGAATACGACTTGCAGATACAGTCGTACGGCCAGGATCGGGTTCCGAACATGTTTTCAACACACATTAGGATACGGTTCTGGATGCGGGCTTGGATACGGTTCTGAAAAGGCCTAGGAATTCTGGATAGGGGTGTGAAGTGTATTCCGGACTGCATCTGAAGCGTATTGTTTAGGACCCTGATCAGGGTCCAGGAACAGGGGTCGGAATACCGAATACGGCTCCCAAGGTGCAGGCACGGGTTTAGGCCCAAAACCCAACAAAACTGCGGGCCGGGCTATGGGTTGGGTCTAAATACGAGATAGGGGTCGGAATACGGGTCGGGAAACCGGTCGGAATACACGTCAGAGCTCTGCCGCCCTGCCCTAACACTATCAAAGCATATTCTCCAGGGTAGAAAGACCGTATTTGGAGCCGTATTCCAACCATATTCCCTTTTCGTACTCGAAACGTATTTGAATTCAGCGGGTTGACAGAGTCCTTGAGGTTTCGCGGCTCGCATGCCATAGGCATCTGCATCTTCTCAACGGCAAATGGGCCCTACATGCCGCCACTGCCAAAGCGAAACCTAAGCGTTCAAGCTGGACTCCTTAAGGCCTCAACGTGGGTGGGAGCAAAAGAACTTTTAAAGGAGACGTGCAGTAACCTGGAAAGCCTGCTCATGTGATCCTCAGGAGCCGGTTCAGATAGAGATGGACCTGGCTGTGCGACAGGTGCGCGATAACTTCGGTCCTCGTGGTTCAACATGCCAAACACCCTTAATTGAATCTGAATCAAGAGAAGCCAAGAAGTCGGGGTGAGGACGTCTTCTCAAGCAATTGGTGGACGAAAATCAACACCAAGGCGAAGAGAGGGAGAGATTCTGGAAGGTCAGAGTACTCTGGGCCCAACATGGGAACCTTTATTTCACAAGGAAGCTCGGATTTTGCCATGTAGATTCCACCAACTAGCCGAATCAATGCAGAAGGCACCCGCCTGAAGGCCGTGAGAAAGCGAAATAGATTTCGTTTCAGTCGTGCGAACACCAACGTGTCCCCCCCGTGGACGCGATCGGAGACTCCCAAAACCTATCGATGGAGCAGTGTGAAGAGTTGTGGACTGCATGGGTAAGCTTGAATGAAGATGACTGCAGACATGTCGCAAGCCGGACCGGCATAGCAGACAGGCCAAGGCAGCACCAGGATGTGTTGGTCGCACATGTCGGATACTGAACCTATTTTCGCACTTGAGTGGTGTGGCTGTTGGCAGAGCATCCGCATTTAAGGTGTCGCTGCTTTTGCTGTTGGAAGGCCTAGCAATGCCGAAGGCGGAATTTCTCTCGTGCAGCGGCCTTGACCGGACGGTGGCGCACACGGTTCTTGTAGAACTGTAGAGTCATCAAACAGAGAAACACGGGAAAGTTCTGGCAGACAGAGAGCAAGCCGTTACCAAGTCAAGGACCCAGGATCAGGAAGACCCCAACTCCTTCTTGCCTCAGGTGGCCCTGGGCGCGTATCACTCCGCCTGTGTCGGAAACCCATCTTCTCCATTCGAGCTGGGGGCTGTAAAGCTCGAATTCAGAAGTTCCAGACCTTAAAATCCCCGACCCAGCCGCTGAAGCCCCAAACCCAAAACCCCTGGCCGGGCCCCTGACAAGCTTCACCAGTAGTCCTTGGATCAGGCTGAGACTGGGCGGAGCAGGTTCCGGGGGATCCAGTTTCTATTAAAGATTGAGCACACCATGGCCAGTGCGTTACACTAGAACGGCAATTTGGCAACTTCGCCCTTGCAAGTCTAGCGCAAGGAGATTCGGCATCTGCAAGTTGTAGAGGGCTCCGTTCGGATTCTCGAGGTTCCGGTCCCCGGCGGGTTAAGCTTCAGAAGCCCAAAACCCTGTCTACAGTCGATCTACAAGCCTGCGGCGAAAGGCGGCTGAAAGCCTAGGCCTAGGCCTAATTAGGAAGCATGGCCTGGGCGTGGCTGAGGCCATGGGCTGCCACTATCAAAAGCATGGCAAGGGACCGGCTGTTGCATTCTCTCGCGGATTTCTCCTAGGCCCCGAGCCGCCTAGCCCGAAGTCGGAGGCCGAAGCGGAGACTCAGACCGGCCGCATGCTCCGCAGTGCAGCACTGGCTCAGCACTGAAGCGACCTCGAAGACAAACGAAGCCTCCGAGATCTCCGAAAGCCGGCCAGCCCGGGCTTCAAGCCTTATAGTATTTATATTACTCGGCAATCCCCCAGAAAGAGGTTCACCAACGGAGCCGCAACCTCAAGCCTTCAAGCGGCGAGGGGAGCCGAAATCAGGTCATGCGTACCCTACGTCCGAATACAGCAAGACCCTGCATCCCTCAGAATTCGACCACCCTAAGTCTTCAAACCCGAAACCCGAAACGCAGCACCTGAGCCCCAAAGCCTGAAGCCCCTGAAGCCCGAATCTAGCCCTGCGCTTAGGTCTGTGAGGACGGCTCGCTTTGGACTTGGGGAGACTCTGGCTGCAATCAGGTGTTCGACTGCTTGAAGGTCAAGACAGGAGTTAAAGGTTAAAGGTTCTTTCTATTACTAGTAGGGGTTCCTTTGAGGTTTTTTGTTTATGGGTTCCTCCAAATTTCTAGAGTTTAGGGTTTAGGAAACCCTAGCCGCTCGGAGCCTTTCCCCCAGCACATGTGAGAGACGCCCCAGATTCTGCAGGAGCTCAGGGTTTATGCGTTCGGATTTCGAGACTGCGGAAGCGGGTCATCCGAGACTCTCGCACAACCTTGTAGCCCTGCTTGTTCAAACCCGCAGCCATGAAACCGCAAACATTAAAAGGCTTCTTGTGTCACCTGAGCTTGAGACCTTCAAGCAACGAGCCTAACGTCTGGAAGACTGGAACTCCCAAAGACCCGAAATCCGCAGAACCCTAGCATCACAAATCGTTAAACCCTCCCAAACCCCAAAAGCCCTAAAAAGGGTGGGGCGGCGGCTTCTTCCACGGGGCCGGAGCTCTTGGACTTGGCCACCGGGACTCGGCTACCACTCCGCAGAAAGTGGAGCAGTTCACACAGCCCCCTGGCCTGGGCTCAGAGTAAGAGTTTAGAGTTTAGGGGCCTCGGGGGCCAAGTCCGCCGGGTTTTTTGAGCTCAAGGCCTGGGCCTCGCTGCAGACGCAGGCTTAGAAGTGCAGAAGGTTTCGGGACTGAGTGGGGCTTATCGCAGTCCCTGCTCAAAAAAGTGGGGCTTAACGCGTGGAGAGAAGTGGCTCAGAGTCACAACTCAGCCTTGGCATTTGAGGCGCAGGCACCGTAGGCTTCATCTGGACTGTGTCCTCTCTCTCAATAGGACTAGCTAGGGGCTGAGTTCACTTACTCTAAACTCCTGAACCCTTGTATACTGTGTTGACCTTACTGATGCCTTCTGCCGGCTGCCAAACCCTTGTGGCCCTTGTGTCCCAGTCTACCTCGGGTTGCTATGTCCTGCGAATATTGTGTCCTCTGACTGCTTTCTTAAGTGAATCTCTAATTCGCTGGGCATGAAAGCTCCTATCTTTCGAGCTCATGTGTAAGCTTGGAGTTCAGAGTTCCGCCTACTTCAGGGGCATCAGGTGTTTTGCAGTGAGTTTTGCAGGAGCAGCGTAGGCTGGATGTAACTCGAACTCCACTACAATCCGAGGCATGGCCAAAAGATTAGCTCGGTGGCCTGTGGGGCGCCCTGGCTCAGATCACTATGCGCCCAAATACCGCAACCATGACTATCACACAGCAGCTGAGATGTAGAGTATGATGGGATCATTGCAGACGCAGGTCTGAACAGTGACTTCCCAATGAGCCCCAATTCCTGAACGTTGAATCCGAAAGCCCGGATCCCGCACACGTGCTGCGGTGAATGACGTCCTTTGCTCAGATGCATGCCCCCTGCTGTGCGACCTCAGGCGATGCTGTGCGTTTTGCGCACGCCGTGAACCCCGAAGCCTTTTCCTGCAATTCCGTGAAGCAGCGCAGACCCCCAAGCTCCTTTCCCCTCCGCCTACAGGTCCTAGACCCCAACGGTCTCAACGGCCCTGCCTAAGCCCAAACAAAGCCTTTAGCCAGGCACAACATACGCTTGTGCTGACCGCGGACGGCCACCTCTACGCCACTGGCAAAGGTGACTTCGGCCGCCTCGGCCGTGGGGACACCTCCGATGAAATCGACTTCCATGAGCTCCCCGGTAGGATCTACACAGGGCTGCTCAGGGCCAGGGGATCCTTTAGCGGTTCGAGGATGTGGGCCTTTAAGGTTTCCTGTAGTGGTTGAACAAGCCCGACAATTCCTTTCCGTTTGCCACATGTTATATTTGCCACTTCAGTGAGTCTGGCACCATTCGTGTTTTTTCTGACTCCCTGTGACTGGTTGTTGTTTCTGGTCATTGCGTCGTGGATTCGATTCTGCCGTTTTGTCAGTTGAAGAGTTCGTGGTCCAGGGGAACTCAACAAACCTGTCACAGAAAAAACAGTATAACAGTTCCAGAAATGTTCGCGGGTGTTTGTGTGTGTGTGTATATATGTANNTATATATATATATACATGTGTGTGTTGGGGGTTATGAGCACCTTCAGCAGGGGCCGAGCCGGGCAGCAAACTGAGAATTTCTCGCCTCTGTCGCTGCGAGATAGTCGTAGATCCCACAGCCGACCAGGGCTGCAATTGTTCAGGCCGCTACATCCCGGACTTACGCCGGCACTTCGGTTTTAAGCTGCAGTGCGCCTTCAAATTCTGTAGATCCCTGGCTTCGGAAACCCAACCCCGAATTGTGTCCGTCGCAATGACACCGTGCTCGCAAGCTATTCAAGACCACCCCAGCCCAGGATAGATTACTTTGAGCAC